CGAGTAAAGAGACGATGGTTCGTTCTGTTAAAGACGACAGGGGAAAACTTCAACATAGAATGATCAGACATTCCCCGTGGGGGACGAGGTTTTACAAGAAGTAAATTGGGATGGTTGATAGAACCCAAATCCAGCTGCGCGTCAAGCCTGGCGGGAAAGGTAACAATGTTTTGAAGACCTAAGGTGGTTAAGAAACGGGTATCGAAATTATTGAAGTCCCCACAAGTGATACAAATAGAAGTATCTACGAGTTCAATCAGTGTAGTTGAAAGAGAATCATAAAAATCATTAAGAACATGGAATGAGCAAGAGGGGGCTATGTATACATTTACAAGAATAAGTGACCGAGAAAAACTCAAATTTCTGGGCGTACATTGAATTGCCGCAGCGTTTATATAACGCGTGGAATAAGTAAACACATTTTTGGTCAGATGGCACCACTGATTTTTGACATACGTGATAAGGCCACCTCCCCGTCGGGAATAAGGAACAGGACGATCGACGCGATAACTAGCGAGTCCGTCCAGGTGTATTATCTCATCCTCAATTTCATTGTGGAGCAAACTTTATTGTAGCATGATCACACCTAGTTGGGCATATTCCCGTTGCTTGATTAAGCTGGTGAGATCGGCCATGTTTCCGATAAGAGATCGAACGTTAGAACTGAGAAAGATGGGACACAGACTATAAGTATGTGTTTCTGTGCTGGACTTGGCTTCAAGCTACCGCAAAATAACTGAAAATTTCGTTTTGTACCTATAAATTCATTTTTCTGCACACCGGACAGACCACATTGATACAGGCATAGCAAAGTACGGACTAAAATTTGGTAGTTCGAGTCACGCAACTGTCTCATCTGGCCATTCTACAAATCAAACTCACCCGAACGGATAGACCAAGGCGGCCACACTCGGTTTGTCCCGATCGGACGCGTAGTCAAAATCCAACATGGACTGAACCGCTTTGGCTTGCAAACCCCATACAATGCAACGGGACTGATCGGTGAACACCCCGGGGTGATTGTCCAATTGGTCTTTGCACGTGGATTCTGGGGTACCGTTCACGGTATTCGCTGATGGTTGATTGAACTAGACCGAAAGGAGAAAAGTAATGGGGATACGACGGGCATGAGCCTTTTTGAAGAATGACATACAGTCCATCTCCTGCTATGTCGCACCCCTGAGAAGTCACATTTTCCAATATCTTCCTACTTTTTCGAAAACCCAAACCAATCGTATCCCTAATAGCGTAGTTTCTGACTATGCGATGTCGCACCCCTCAATATGTCGCAGTTCCTGATACGTACTCACTTGGTCGTTGACCGATGTTCGGGACCACCATTGACCATCCACCCTGAAATGTCGCACTCAACCAATGGCGTTTCACCTAATGTGACGCTTTTATAGCACTGCTCACTGATTGGATAATTCTTTCGAAGAAGTCACACTAATGCAACTGGTCGGAAACAGTGTCATTTGACATCAAAATGTGCACGCACCTATCGATCAGAAAGAAGCAGAATGTGTTGGAAATGCTGAAACAGCCGGATGCAACTCAGAGATCCGTAGCCAAGTCACTTGGAATTTCACGAAAACCTGTCTACAATGTTGTATTCCATCGAACGACTGAATTTTGAACGCTGGAGCATCTGAGGAAAGATGTCACCTGAAAGCCAACCAAAAGTTGAAGGCAGTGAATAAGTTACCTTTGGCTTGGTTTACTGCTATGAGGGGAAAGCACAGAGAGTTCCCAATGGTGAAGAGCATCGTACGTAAGAAGGTATTTCAACTAGCACAAAGATTGCATCACAATGACTTCGAAGCTTTCAAAGGTTGGGTTCGCTCTTAGCCAGACAGATATGCTATTCAATCGTACAAAGTAAGAAAGCAACTCATGTGCCTTACTTTATAGGTCTGTGGGGAAAGTTTCGCGATACCACGTGATGCAGTGGATGAGTTTCGAGTGGGGTTACCACAGCTGATACAAGGATATGTTGGCTGTAATATTTTCAGTGTAGATTTACTGGTCAACGCTTTCATGAAAGCAGAGTTCAAATCCACATTGATTCAGCCGGTGATGCAGCCACCAGAGGATAAATCCGATTCGATTGAGGACTTTACTCATTACGTGTCTATTGGTGATCGTCCTTTTGAAGAAGAAATCGCCTGTTTGGAATTTGATGATGAAGAAGTGGGTTATTTAAAATTTTTGTATCAAGTCTCTTTTTTAGTCATCAGATGAATTCGTTTCGAATCAGGCTAAGCATCGCAAAGACGATCAATGTGAGGCAGTGAATGCACCGGAAGTTATCTAAATCAGAGGCGCAGAAGTTATTGGATCAATTGAGGCTGTTTGCCTTGGCTAATGCTCGGAGCTCGGGTAGATTATTGGAGTGTACAATTGATTTAAACAGCGCGTTTGTTGATTTCCAACGGAGAGCCAAGCTGAGACAAACGACGATTTATGATTTTGCTAAAAATGCACCTTTATAATCTGCAGATTTTGGCAATTCTGTGTGGCACTGAACTGAAATGTGGTCATTTTTGCTACAGTGGTCACCAAAGCGACGGTCATTCGGTCTATCGATGGGCTCTGTAGCACTAACGTGCAAACGGGTGAATGATAATCCCGATTGACTGGTAAGCGGGTGAGTGGAATGAGATGTCAGATCCGAGCGATCGATAAACACCATCACACGGACGCGCCCGTGTAAATGAATGAACGATACTCTTACTTGTCTTAGAGCACCGATGAAATTAGGCAGGTCACTTGCCAAAGGACAGTTTGTGAGATGCACTTTTAGTTTATGAGTCGTTAACTGCTTCATAGTTGTCGTAATTCCTGTAGGTTGGCGTCTATGGCCTTCGGTTGGCTGAACAGGAGTGAATTTCTTCCAAGTAAACTCCCGTCTCACGCCTACCGGAAAATTTGCTCTAGAACCCGCTTAAAAATAGTGCGTGTATCTTAGACGAGTCAAACTTTGGCCCAGTATCATCATCATCATTCTGAATCTCCCACATGGCGCATCGTTCCACAACCGATTCTCCTGTGGTTATTCTCCACCAAATTAAGCAGCATTCGATTCAGAACTTATCCTTCTCCTATGCCGGCCCGAAAATCACATGACCGATCGGGTTCGTTTATCGATCGGTCGGATAGGTCACAACAACAACAACAGACTTGGCGCTTGCTCACCTAACCCGAGCGAGAAACCCCACCTTGTCTACAACCGCGAGTCTGTAGCAGACCTAGTGAATTTCGGCTGTACAGCAGGCGTGCCTTCACTACACGGATGGACTGGGCATGACAATAAGATCATCTCAAAAAGAACAAGACAATGTGAAACGATGCAGTAATGGGACTATCGGACTATCCACATAGCAACATGACATATTGAATTGATACTCGGGCATTTTAAATTGAAAAAGGTATGCTTTATGAATCACGTTAAGACATTACTAGTTGAACTTAGTCCGACTAACAACGGTCATGATGAATGCATCAATCGGTTTGAACATACACTGTTAACAACAGAAGAGAACGAATGAATAAATGTCTACATACGCTAGTGATACACATTTTTCAATAGAAAATCATGAATAGATTGCACAACGAACAATCAGTGTGAAAATGGGAAGAAGGTCAATGTTCTGGGTATACCCCGTAACAGATATTTCACTCATTCTAGATGTTTTTTCCTTCTCGCTGTATTCGAACTGGTTCACCTCTATTTTCCTTGAATAGGTTAATAAGGATGTGATTATTCTAGCTAAAACAGTTGTATATTATGGTGGACGTCATATAATCAATTATGTGGTTAGCCTAACGTTGCAATGGAATGGAGGAATATCTGGAAATAATATGGGATAATTGGGTCAGAAAAAGTTCCGCTGAAAAAGGTAAGTAATTTCGGGATAACTAGACACAGAACCGAAGAAGGCTGAATACCGCATGCAATGTACCGATATTAAACTGAGGGCGTCATATACAGGAAACGCAGGACGGTAGATCTAAATCCCGTTATAAATAAACAGTTAATGATTATAAATATTGGCAACAACTAACGGGATTAACCTTTTCATCGATCCGATTTATTTTGTCACAAAACTTCCAACTGATTTTTAAACTACTTATTAACATCTACTACTGTTTACCCTGGTATGTCGCAGTTCCTGGGTTTTGCCCACTTTTCGAATTCCCGAGGGGTGGGACATGGCAGGAGGTTGACTGTAGTACGGTGAAATCTGTCACAGAGTACAGTTTTGGGCTATGACGCATCTATTGTTTAGAATGATCAATTTGGTTCAGATCAATCCATACAACTCCTTAGACAGCTGTTATTCTAACCTGCCGATGTATTAACAATTAGCCCGGCGCATGCTCCTTTGCATCTCTAAGCCCAACGCAACCTATATGATCGCTTGGTCAACGTTTTCATACCTCCATGTCAAGTCATAGCTTACCTGACCCCGGGCAACTTCCAACTGCTCTTGAGCATCAGCATAAATTGTTTAGGGTCAAAGAGAGGGGGCTTGTGCAAATGGATTACTATAACTTCTCATATGGCTAGCATCGGACATCGAACATGCCCTGATAGTCGACCACAATCTTTATACAGGGGGAGGAAATCCAAAGGCCACGTTTAGGGTCATTTGTTTCAGCTATGCGTGAAACCACTGCACTGGTGAGTGACTTAATCGTTCAGCCGCGCATAGTGTTCACGAATCCGTTCGGATAAACGCCTGACCGTGTGGCCCATGCACATCGTGCCACAGGAACAAGAAATTTGTTCTTCAATCGCAAACACACAATTGGCTTGGACATGAACAACACATAACACACACACACAACACTTTGTTGTATAGAATGTCTAATCGATGCATTGTTGCATTGTTTCCTTTGAATTACTTCGATTGATATATCCCTAAAACGATGAAGAAATGTATAGTACATTTGTCTTGGTTTTAACCCTCTTTCAAATATTTCCGTGCACATAATCACTGTGCAATTAATACAGTGTGAGCAACATCTAATCACAGAAGTGATTTCCTTAATGTTATTAATTCCTAATTTATGTAACATTATGATATAGATTGATAATGAATTCCATAAAACGAGCGTAGTGATAACTGTTTCTGTCTTGTAAAATGTTGCAATGGCCTACTCGGATAAAACTCCTTCATTGGTTCACCAAATGGATAGTCGAAAGACAACAATCCAAACTGGCGAACGAACGCGTAAGGTTGACAGTTGTTTAAATTGGATCGAACTAAACACGTGATGATCGAAAAATAAGTGGGAGTGGGGTTGATGAGTTGCCTTTTTCTCAAAGAATGAAGTCAATATACAACGTGCCTGAGATCTGTATATTCGCCTGGACTAATTCACAAAGAGAAATCCGAAATCTATCGAGCTAGAACAGCGTATCAATGTGGCGTGGAAACGTATAGTCCAAATGAAACATGAATAGTACTTGCGTAATGGTGACAAAAGAACTGTGTACCATCGCGAGCACATTGACTCCAAAGTTTTAATGAAAGATCTACCAACTTCCGGTAAAGGATGGTGTTGTGGTCGACAACTGACTGATTCGCTTGCCATACATGGCTGTGGCCAGACTGATTGATTGATCGATTGACTGACTGTTAGAATTCTGGCTTGACGGCAGTCGCATGTAGTGAAACGTGTGAGCCGGAGTCGGCCTGCCTGCCTTCCTACACGCTGATCGTTCCTCGGCTTGTGTACCGGCTACATATTGGCTGTTTACAATACACTTGGTGTGTGCTCATTTGCCTACTTAATTTGGAATACAACAGATGGAGTGAGTTGTGATTAACTACCAGCATTCGGCTAAAATCATCACGTCTATGATATGGAAGATTATGTTTGACAAATCACATAAAGTGTCAAACTGTGTACTGGTAGACATTTAAAGTTCTTATAAACCTTTTTCCGTTTCCTTCACCGACATGTTTAAGCTCAACAAGGAAANAAAGTGTCCCGGTGATGACAATGACTTACTGCAAAACCAACTGACGGAGTCATGGAGGCATTCAGCAGCGCTTCGGTAGCCGACGGCTGTTCCGTGACAGACATGGTTGGAATTTCACGAAAGCCTAAGGCCATCGAGACGACCGCTGTCATGTGAGTTTCCGGACCAAACACGTGAATAGGAATGCCGAGAGGGCCAGCTTAAGTAGGGCAACCGGGGGAACCGAAAACCAATAGGTCAAATTGATGAAGAGTTGCTCATATTCAGTGATATACACAATTATTTATCGTCCGATATTGCAAAATGTATTATCCATTAACAAGTGAGAATTAAGACTGTCGTCAACCTTTTGAGTTAAAAAAACCCAGCATTTGGCGTTCACGTGCATTACACAGTTGGTTAGTCAAAAACAGCAATGAACAGATCAAGGAGAGTGTATGAGAAATAAGATCCATATCGAAGCCATAAAGGACGTTGCACTGGGATAAAAAAAGTGCAATAGTTATGAAACCACACAAGTCAAAACAATGAGGATCTCAGTGGACAGAAACGAGCAAATAATTAGGCGTATAAGTTAGATCTCCTACTTGTTCTTGGTTACGACCAATGCAAGACTTTAACTCGTACAATGTTTAGTGAGCAACAGGATGAGCCGATTGTTTTGAACGACTGGCACGACTGAAACAGAGGCTGAGCACCGGTTGGTCATTGATCACAAGGGCTTCAGATCTGAGTTTTGTTAACCTGCATAGAGAAAAATTCGAAAATCTTTATGGGTGGAAGAAGGATAAGCTTTGAGATAGAGTCTGTCCAGGACGATTTCGCTGCATCTCAACATGATGCACACTGGTGCATACCGCTAGACCCAGTCCTGGTAGGCTTGTTTAGGGCACATCTGGAAAAAAAGGAACTTAAGGTGCTATCCTGTACAAAGGATACGTCGAAGACACCCTGGTTATAGCAGAAAACTTGAGAAAAGCTACGACAATTATAAATGAACTCAATAGACTACATTCAAATATACAGTCCACAATGGAATCTGAATGCAATTGACATTAGCATGGCCAGAAGAAAAGACGGAACTGCTCGGTCCGTTTATCGAAAGGAAACCTCGACAGACCAATATTTACACCTCGAGAGCTTTATGCCCCTTTACTATAGACGTGGTCTTGTTCGGACCTTATTTGACAGAACCTGGCGAATCTGCACGCAAGACAGTTGAACAAGAACTGCAAAACCTTCGGGAGTTGTTGGCAAAAAAGGCTTATCCCGAAGCGCTTGCTAATAAGCATAGCAAACCGAGAATTGCGAAAGAACCGATTGCGTCAGTTCCTAAATTGCGGGTCACATTGTACCTTCAATTCAAATGTGATGATGTAAGCCGTCTGCTCAATAACCGACTGAGATCAGCAATCGCTCGAACTTACTATGCAGCCGACCCCTAAATCGTCTACCGGACAACTAGGGTAACCACACCCCCGGCAAAAAAACTTCCGCCACTGTACACCAACTCTGATCTGATCTACCAATTCCAATGTGGGTGCGGAGCGACCTACGTGGGCAGAACAGAGCGACAATTAGGCAATGAATGACGTTCAAAACCAGACGACGCAATCCAGGTCAAGTGCACAGCATAGAAATGATGGTCGAAGCTACAAGACCGCGTCCTCAGTCATTGCTCGACATATATTGATGACGCCCCCCCCCTGTGCCAACAATAAGAAGTTCATGTTAGTCTGTCTCTACCCTAGTGACATGGTCCTTTTACCTCTCACCCTTTTTATGTTTTGTCTATTTTATCGTAATTTTTCCTTTACTAAAGCCCTATATAAACAATGAATTTTCTGCAGTATGCACCATATGTAGATGCAGCGAAATCGTCCTGGACATAAATCGTGCAGTATTGCAATAAGGTCTTTTCTTCTTAAATTAATCCCGAGGGCTTGCTTTAGTTTTAACAAATTGCAATTTGACAATAGTTACACATCAGACAGATTGTGTGACGACTAGGCAGAAAGAATGTCCGATGACTGGCGCAGGAATGCGGCACTGGGATCATCAACATCAACATCAAGCTTCAACCATACTTTCTTTCTTCCGCGGAGAAGTCTGATACCTTGCCACAGGTGTTTGCTGTTTTCAGTCCTCGGAATTCGATCGAAAAATAACGCGTTTAGTCTATTTACTTCAGTTTTGATAAGCCTGGACAAGTGCCTGACAGCTGAAGCACTGTGAGACTTGTATGCGCGTTCCTATTATCCTCGCAGCGAGTGGATATCCTTCCGTTGGATACATACAGATTTTTAACAGGGTAGCAGTAATTATAAATGGTCTTAATTGTTCGGGTGAATAGGGGGACACGCGTGAATAGCGAATAGATGATGAAAACCGCAAAGAAACCTGTCTAAGAATTCATTGAGAAGAAAAACACTTGTGGGCGAGGTGTGAAAACGAAATCTGATGTAGTCAAATTGAGAGAAAGATTTAGTCGGAGAAAGATCAAACAGTGGTCGCTGGTGGAAACTAGTGCTTTGAGTGTTTAAGAAAAAAGATTGAATGTTTGGCGATCACTCTGTCCAGTATAGAGTTACATCTTGTGGGAGCGACAAAGATCTTTCATACCTAATGATAAAAGAGGATAGGTATTAGTATGGTTAAAGTCGCCAATGATTGTATGTAAGTTAACATTCAAAAGTGGAGAACCTATAACCGCATCCGATAATGGTAGCTTCAATGATAATAGAAGTGTATGAGTCAGATTACCAAGTAAAATTGTATTGCTAATATTTCCGCACTGATCGATTCAGAAGCACAGATGGATATCACTTGGGATTATATTCGTGGATAGACGGAGGTTTGGACTTGAAAACAGATATAATTAACTAGGCCATGTTAGTTTTCCTGCCTTTGTACACTAATACGTACGAAACATTTGAAGCTCGTCCGGTCATGCGTGGAGGTATTACTTAGGACTTTTGGTTTTAATGGATTTAAGAAAAAACATTTTACGTAAAATTAATAGTTTTGGAATTCACANTCGCATAATCCGCAAACCTTCCTGATAATTGGGACCGGCGCGACGAACGTATAGATGCACTTTGTGGTGCATCAACCCCTCCTTGAACTCCAGCAACGCACGAACGATACCTTTGAATGTAGCTGCTACATTGGTGAAGTTTGCAATTCCTCCTCCAATGATTAGAACTTTGCCTGCCGTGTAGAATGACACGGGGTTAGATGTATTAAGTAGTGCACTACAGCAATGAAATTGAGCAACGTGAAAAAATGGCACGGTGGCTAACATCACCAAGTCAAACAGGAGATACTGCAATGTAGAAATAGCAGCTATAAATGGCAACATTTGTTTCTTAGGTATGAAACAACAAATTGCGATCCATTTTCTATTGACCACACATTTGTTTTGTTTTTTTGCGGTGATTATTCGGTCCAAGTAGCCCTCCACTCCTCCACTGTCAGAATGGGCCACCTATTACAGCAGCCAGAGCTGTGAGTTCTGCTCACACTCAGCGGACGAGGAACAAAGCATGTCGAGTCTCAAATGTGCTATGATGAGGCGGAATGAGGAATGTGATGAAAGATCTCTTGAGTATGAACCTTTCGGGGATGGTGCATTGAACTGTTGTGGTTGGAGATCCCGAAAAAGTATTACCCTTGTGGGAATGATGTCACCAAGTTGAGTCTTCCCTCACGTTTTAACACAAACCCGCTTAATATCACATGAACTGGGGGAAATCAACTACTTGATTAGTGTTAAACGTTAAGTTCATCGCGTATTTGATTCACTCTAACCAACCCTTTTGTTCATTCTTAATCCATTAAAAGATGCAGGCACCATGGGTTTGACTGCATGATGATCTAGACTACTGTGAAATGCACAGTCTGTGTACGCTCTATTCAGTTGTGCGCTTTCAGGTCTTAACTTAAGAAAATATATAGTTTTACTTAAAATATATGGTTTGGCTGATTGCATATGCTATAAACTGAAATAAATCAAAATGATGAATTCTATTTCACTCGATCCCCTTAAAATCAGTAGTATGTATTCGGAAACTGAAATTCATCCCATTCTCTGATTATTGTATAAAATTTTCTCCGAGAGGAAAACGTATGTTTTCCTTGAGTGGAATTTAAAAATGGGTGTAGATAATAAAATGGTCCCGATGCTGGCGACGCCGCATGCGCGTTGGATGCCAAAGAAGTGGTCAGATCTGAAAAATGCAAGATGCTAGTTGAATTTTGGTTTTGAACGCATGTTTGTTAGACGCCTTGCTGGTCGACTTGATACAGTGTCAATAATCGATTCATTGGTTTTTTTATTTGTTAGGTAAATTAATTGCACCCTTGGTATAAATAACAGATAGCATTTCGGGTGATTTAGCACAGAGAGAGAAACGAAGCAACCAGTGAGAAGACGGATTATCCATATGAGCGTTCATATTTCACGGGATTTCGTGGAAGAGGATTTTTGTGTCTTCTGGCGCGGTGTTAGGTTGCGAGNGAGGGGTGGGAGGAGAATCGTTTATGCCTCTGAACTCACTCTAGTCGGTGGGTACAAATTAGGAAACTCCCGTCAGAAGGGAAATTCTGATTAGCATTTTCGCAGATACATCCCACTTGCTTCATAAGGTCTCATCATACAAAAAAAATATTAGGATTTCTGAAGCTGGCAATGGATTTCACATTAATGTAGCTCAAACTTTAGTAAATTCACTTACCGGCAGCATACTCACTTCGCACGTAATGCCATTCCATTTTAATAAATCAGGTTTGCCCTGTGCTTTGTGCGAGGAAAAACTGTGTTTCGTGAGTTTTTCTGTCGTTTACATGACAAAATGGAGAACCACACATTCTGAACATAGTGCGCGGTTACATGCTAATGATCTCATACGACAGATGTGTAACACAGGTTGACGGCAGCTGAACTTCTGCTACTCCTAATATTCCCAGTCACGCTATGATTTCATTTTAAGAATCATTTGCATAGAAATGAACATTTCTGGATTTTAGTCGCTAATCCACGACAAGTGCTATGAATGCCGAGGATAAATAAAGACACAGAAATAAAATGAGGTGAAGAAAAATGGATGGATGAAAATGAAATGTGAATGCAAAAAAATAGTTTAGCCCAGTTTGGACAATCAGTGGCCTTGCATTTGCGTTCGGTGGTTGTCTGAACTATCAACCTGTTCGGTACGGATGGATACTCAGTGAAAGGAGTAGGAGGCTGATATAAACTCCAAGATAAAAATAATAAAACAATATCACTCGCATAAACTAGACAGAAAAATTCGTTTAGTCAATACAGCCTCGAAACTTCTCGCTGGCATCATACTCCATCGACCGTCTACCGCACGTGAAGAGCGCACACGTGAAAATCTGGCTGGTTTTAGATTCGGTCAAGTTTGTATCGACCACATCTTCCTTCGTCGCCAACTTCTGGAGTACCGACATTCTTTTCGTAGATCGACCATTTCTGTCTTCCTCGATCTGAAAGCGGTTTCGACTCAGTCGACCCCTCTAACCTCTGGTGCTGCCTTTTCTGAAGGATGAGCCCTAGAAGTTTATTTCAATATTATAATCCCTTTACACCTTTATACCAAACTTGAGTCTGAGCTTACGGCACTTTTTCACCCGAGTCCTCCACAGAAAGTNGATTGCGCTATCTCCTTTTCTCCTTTTCTTATTGATTTGATCATGGAAATAGTCCTATCCTCGCGCGAGGATAGTGGCATCCAGTTTCTTTCGAGTTTAATACTGTTTGATTTGGAGTACGCAGACGACCTTGTACCCCTAGGTGAAGATTCAGATATTTTGCAAGCTTTTCTGGATAGTTTGAGTGCTAGTGTAGCCATGTTTGGTATGCTTTTGGCACCCAAATGTAAAATGTTGCTACAAGACTGGGTTGGTCCAGTACCCAACCTCACTCTTACTGGGGAACTAATAGAGCAAGTGAATAAGTTTTGTTATTTGGGAAGCTGTATCTCACCCAGTGAACGCATCACGGATGAAGTTAGCATACAGAAGGCTAGACT